TCAAAAGATATTATTACTGAAATATATAGAAATGGATATATTTTAAATGATGGAATAATTTATATAGAAAAAATTATAAAAATGAATGAAATACAAACATTGTATTTTGGAAATGAACAAATGTATAGAGAAGTATTAATTAATGATTATTTTGAATCAATGAATACAGAAAATGGATATATTTTTGAATGTGTTTCAAAAGATTCATGTAAATCATATAGATTTAATAATAGTAATAATCAATTTATTGAAGACTTTGATTTCCCTCTTCTTAAAAAAGAAATAAAAACTAATATCTTAGCTATTGGTAATGAATGTTTATATTTTTATTGTTCTCCTTATTTTAGTCAACAAGTTAAATTTACAAATTATTGTGAAAATGGAAAAATATTTAGAACAATTGGAATGGAACTTCAATTAATGTCTAATACTATTAATAAAAATGAATGTCCAAATGATGATTATTCATCTTTTTCTATTGAAATTGAATCAGTAGATGAAACAATTGAAATTAATTCTAGAGTATATAGTTTTTCAGTTGTTGACAATAGAGTATTAGATTCAACACCAATATATTTAAAATTTACAAATTCATATTTAAGAGTTATACCAAATAAATGTTTTCAAGTAACAGAATCTTCATCATTAATATTTATTCCTGGAATTTATGGAGATAAAAATTATATATTTTTAAAAGAATATAGTTCAACAAGTAATTGTAATGGAAAATATACTATTAGTGAATTTTCACCAGATCAATACAGTTATACTAAATTTAATATTGATGATGATTTTGCAATTATTAGTTATTTTGATAAAGATTATAAAGATTGTGGAATTAATAAAATAGAAGAAGCAAGTTTAATTAGATATGTATTACCTGATATAAATAAATGTCAATTTAAATCTACATATAATGTAAATGAATTTAATTTAATTGAAATAAAATATGATGATTCTGATTGTAAAGGTAATATAATTAGTCAAGAGAGTTATGCTTTAAAAAGATGTATAAATGATACTAATCAATTACATATTATAATTGCAACATTTCCTATTAAATCTGAAGATTGTAATAATAAATTTAAAGGATGTATCAGTTGTGATTTAGATGAATGTTTTGAATGTCCAAATGGTTATGGGTTATCAATGAAAAAGGATAATTGTATAGATTGTTCTATATTTACAAGTGATTGTCTTCAATGTAATAATCAAACATGTACTAAATGTAATAGTATAGATAATGAAATTAGAGTTTATCATAATAATCAATGTTTAACATGTAAAGAAGCATTTAATGATAATGGATGTTTAGAATGTAATGCAAATAATTGTACACTTTGTTCAAGTATTAATGGAACATTAAGATATTATAATAATGGAGCATGTAAAACATGTAAAGAAGCATATGATGAAAACTGTTCAGACTGTGATGGAATAGAATGTAAAAAATGTACAGTAGAATATGGATTAAAAATAGGAAGACTTGGATGTATGAAATGTTTTGATTTAGACAGTAAATGTTTAGAGTGTGGAGAAGGAATATGTACTAAATGTTATAATAATTTATTATTTAAAAATAATAAATGTCAAAGTTGTGATGATATTTATGGAAAAGACTGTCTTTCATGTGATATAAATAACTGTTTAACTTGTGATAATAATAAAATTGTTATTGAATCAAAGTGTGTTAGTTGTAATAAACTTTTCGACCATTGTATTCATTGTAATACTACTCATTGTTTATATTGTGATTCTATTGATTATTCTTTAATTAATGGAAAGTGTATTAATCAAAATAATGACCAAGATAATAATTCTTGTTTAATTTCAATGTTGTTGATTCTTTCAATAATTCTTTTCTTGTGAATCTAATTGATTCTTTCTTTATCTTTTTTTTAATGTTTTTTTATTTAAAAATCTTTGTTCCTTATGGTTGGTACAAAGGAAAAATTATATGAAAGTTTTTATAATAAATCAATTTCATAATTTTCTCATTTGTTGAATTTGAATATAAAGATATAAATATTACATAATATATCAAATAATAGTTATAATTGAAAAGAAGTTCTAAAAAAATAGTATTCTAATAAAGAAAAGAATCATTAGAGAGAGTAATTTAGTATTAGAAAATAATTATTGTTATTATGCCTAAAAATAGAATAAATAAGAGTTTCAAATTAACAAAAAATAAGTAATACGTTTATCTTAAATTATAATGAGATTCACTTTAATTTAAAGTAAATTTATGAAATAATTTAAATGAGAATATTTGAAAAATTTTAAATTAAAGAAATAAAATAAAAACATTAAGAATTTGATTTGTTTATATCAATACAGTAAAAAAATATGAATATGCTGAAAAATAAAAATTTATTTCTTTAATAGTTAGTATTTTTTTTCATTAAATAATGAATTTAAACATTTTGTGAAAAATAAAATTATTTAAAAATAAGAAAGAAAAAAAGAAATAAGAACTGAAAATAAAGATTCAATTCAAAAGATGGAAATAACACAACCTGAAAAAAAGAAACTTGGAATTTTGATGAACACAATTTCACTAAAAGGAATTCTTGCAATTGCAATGATATTTATATTAATCACTGGTGGAATTACTATTATTGCCATTATATCACCAAAACCATATCTTCAAACAAAAGTTGGATTATGGGAATGTTCACAATCAACACCCACTTTTAATCCTAATGTCTGTAAAGGATGGGACTCTTATACTACATTAACTTCACCATCTACAGATAAAAATATTTCTACTTCTATTGTTGTTGGACCATTTGCAACATTAAATAAAGATGTAACATTTGGATTTTTACTTAAGAATGTTTTTACAAGTTCTAGTATGCCTTATTTTAGTTGTTTGTTTTAGTTTTGATATCATCATTTTTTCTTTTCGTTTAAGAAAATCTTTGATTATGAGATTGAAATTTAAAGTATTTTGATAACATGATTACTTATCATTAGTTAAATTAAACTTAGAATATTCATTTCAACCATTTAGTGATATTAAACTTGTTTCAACTGTTAATTATGTTAGAGAAACTGCACAAAACATTAATGTTGAATGTACTAATGGAAATGAATTTTGTAAAGTTGACTTTAGTGTATTTAAACGATTTGGTACATTGACATATGAACGATTTGATATCTTTTCGTTATCATCTAGTTCATTAGAAAAAATGGATCAAGCTGAATTCTATGGAACACTTCAAACATCAAATTCATCATCAACAGTATTTGAAATATTTTGGAGAATTTCTTTAGCCTTTAGTAACTGTATTGTATTATGTTTATTTTTCTGGTTCCTTCGATTATATTCAGTTTTTAATTGGGCATTAGAACAACACTTAACTGGTTTATTGATTTATGGATTAATCCTTTTTAATAATCCATTTTGTTTATTGGAACACATTACAGGGGCACCATTCTTTTTATTGGTAGATTCATTCTTCGAAAGTTTCTTCACTGGATATTTAATGTTTTACATATTAGTAATTTTTAATTCAGTTAGAAGACCAGAACGAGCTAAAGGATTTATTCCATTGGTTGTTCGTGCTATTATGGCTATTGTTATTTCATGTTCAGCATTTGGAAGTATTCTTTCTATTCGTATGACCCTTCAATCAAATAGTAAATTCCATTCAAATCCTTTAACTATTTTCTTTAGTGTCATGTTTTTGTTGAGTGTTGTCATTTATTTATTCTGGTTATTATTTGAAGTTATTAGATCATTCAGTGAAAGAAGAAAGATGAATGGTAGTAACAAAAATAGAATTGTTATTTTTGGTATTGTTACTTTTGGATGTATTTTCTTATTAATGGCTGTTTATATTGGAGTTTATTTCTCTGGATACATGGTTTCAAATATGTTTATTGGATTATTGGCATATGTCAACTTATATTGTTTCTTTGTTGCAATTCTTAATTTACCATCATTAGAAAGACAAAATTCTAATAACAGTGGTGTTAACATTGCTAAATTAGACACTGAACTTAAGGTTGAAACATATGACGATGATGATGAATTAATTGTTGAAAATAAAAATGAAGAAGGAGTTCTTGAAGATTCTATTCCATTAAATTAAAAAGTTAACACAACCAAGAAAATAATTTAATCAATTTCTTTCAATGAGTTTGATTGTTGGTTTAAAGGTCATCTGCTTCATCAGCATAAATTGGTTTAGGTAATGGAATAATTGATTTTTTGTCTACATCACGAGGTAAAGGAGTTCTCATATCATAGGCACTTTCATTATTACTACTATAATATTCTAAGATTTCTCTATACACAGAATAACCTAGTCTGTGATACATTCCAATAGCTGTTTCATTACTTTTTCTAACAAATAAATCAACATAATAACAATTTGCCCTAATTTTTAATATTTTTCTTATTCTTCTATAAATGTATTTGTTATTATTCAATCAAAACAAACTCTTCACTGATTTGTTTTAACCAAAACATCAATTGATTACTTAGTCCAATTCTTCTAAACTCTCTTGCAATAGTAATGGCTGTGAGATGTCCATGATACTTCTCTCCTTCTCCTTCTATTTTTCCAAAATGATATCCTTCTACTCTCCCATTACAGTCTTTTGCAATAAAACACATCTCTGGCCATTTAGATAGATATTCAAAGTAAAAAGGAAAATGAAAAGTTTCTGTGTAGTAGTCAAGATTAACGTTTGAATACTCTAATATATCTCTACATTTGAACTTTCTTATTGTTGTCATCTTTTATTTTTTTTTAAGTTTTTTATTTTTTTATTTCAGTCTTTAATTGTATTTAAATTATACTTTTCTAATTTTAATCAACTATAAAAATTGAAATATATAACATTTATTTTTCATTAATATTTTTGTTGTTTAATAATATTTTTATAACATTATTTTCAGTACTTCACAAAATAAAAAGTTCTCGTTAAAATAATAAAATCAATCACACAAATCAATTAAAAGTCAGAATAACTCTTTCCTTTCTTTTTGATAATGATTATCACAATGACAGCAACGATAATAACAATGATTATGAATGCAAGGAAAATGGCAGCAATAATACCGACAACAGCACCTGCACTTAAACTATCATCATCATCGTCACTATTACTACTATTATCATTTAATCCTTCTTCATCTTTCCAAGAGAAAGAAATTCTACCAAGACCAGTGTCGACATTGCTATGGGCTGCAACAAATACATAAACAGATTCACCTTTTTTCATTGGATAAGAAACAATTGTTCCTTTTCTACCAACAGGAGAAGTGGTATAATCACCAAAGGCAACACATTCTTTTGGCCATGACTCTTCTAGTTTAGTAGTACATTCTTTATACATATCGATATGGGAATAGAATGTTGATGAATCATCAGTTAATGCTTGAAGAGTTTTATCTTCTGGAGCTGTGATATGATACCATACACCTTTTATTCCATCTTCAGTTATTCCACAAATTCTTCTTGATGAAGTAGAGAACATTGTATTGAAATATTTGATTGATGGAACATGAATTTCTTCAGCATTAGAACACATTGAATTATTTGGTCTAACATTATGTTCATAAATACTAACTCTGGTAACTGCTTTTTGAGCTTTGACATCTTTGGCATGGAAAAGAATTGAAGTATTAATAGCAGGAATCCTCTCATATAATTCTAATTGGATTGTACTTCCAAATCCACATGTTGATTCAGTGTCTGGAGAGAAACATGTCCAGTATGGATAATAATAATCACCAGATGCAGTAACTCCAATATTTGAATTGGTTTCTTCACCACATGATGTAGCAACATAAGTAATACCACCATATGTTTTAATTCCATACCAAATACCAATTGATTCTTTTTCTTTATCACAACTCCATTGAGAACGTGATCCACCAAGTAAAGCAACTCCAGTATATGGAAGACTGTCAATCATGATTCTCTTTTCAATTGAAGATCCTCTAGTTTCAATTCCATAAGAAGCATAAAACAAAAAAGCACCATATTCTGGTAAATTATTATCGTTATCAAGAATCTTTTTTGCTGTAGCAAAAATGTATCTACTTTCTCCTTTGTTAATTGTAAATGAATATAATCCAGTAAATGAATTACATTGTGTTGGATCTTCACAAAGATCTCTCACTTCTAAATAACTATTATATTTGTTTACATTAGTTGGAATAACTCCTACTACAACATTTGTTTTTTGTTGAATACTCTCAATTTTATACCATGCACCTTGTCTCATAATTGGACCTAAACATCCTACTATAGTTGGAATTCTATTTGATCCAATAATATTTGAAGAAAAGATATCTCCTTTATTTCTAAGTAAAACTGAATGGGCATTAGAACATTGGAAATTACTAACATCACCTGCTCTTAAAATATTTAAAACAACAGTTGCATTCTCATCAGTTGATGATGCTCTAATATAATAATGATGATTCTTTTCTAGTTTCATAACAATATATGAATTTAATCCACATTTTCTATATCCTCCTGAATAACAAACATTACAATCATCTACATAAACTTCTATATCAGTAGGTTTATTTATTGAAGCACATGTATGAATTGCATACATGTTATCATCTCCTTGAACAGATGTATAAAATCCATAATTATTTTTACCACATCCTGTTTTATCTCTATCTAATCCTGTAACTTTAACTTCAAGAACACTTGGAAATGAATTAATTGCATATGCACTAGAACATGTTGATGCATCAGCTTCATATGAGAAATATGTTTGAATAACTCCAGGTTCTGGATTATAAATATCATGTTGTGTAAATCCAACAAAAACAAAATATTCGTTTCCAATTTCAACATTAAATGCAAGTCTTGATTTTATTCCACAATTCTTACTAACTTGAACTAATGGTTTATCCCCTTTACAATTACCTGTAATATTTGCTCCTTCAACAGAGAGTAAAGAAATAGAAGTAGTAACAGTAGTAAATTTGTTGCATGTATTAATATAAATTTTATCTTTTTTTG